TCCGATCCCTTCCTCGAGCACATTTCACGCAGAAGACAGGAAAGGGTTAAAGCAAACTTAATTTCTTAATGACTCAGGAAAACACTTTTTTGCAGATATTGTTTTGTTTTTTTTCTTCTTCCCCCAGAATTTTGTCTTTGAGGAAAAAAAAAAAGAAAAGACTAATCTGGTTAGTCTGAATATTTTTTTCTCTCCTCCATGATCCTCTCCATTGTGGTATTTTTATATAACAAGGCGCATCCCACGTTTTTTGGTGTTACAGAGATTTGAAGAGTCCTGTTAGATTTGTATTGCCTAGTTCAATGTTCCTATAACCATAGTCCTATGTGATCCACCCCTCTCTCTCTCTCTCTCTCTCTCTTCTCTCCTTCTTATATTTTCTTTGTTCTATTGAAGGCCAGGTTCTTTGGGGCATCCTGTACTCTGTAAGAGCAATAGCTGAAACTCCTACTTAGTGTCCCAACAATAGCAGAAGAGGCAGCCAGCAGTATGTTTTTGTTTTTAGTGTGAGTATTTGTATTTGTTTCTTGTACAAGGTGAACATTTAGCATTCAGTGCAGTTCAAATAAAAAGATACGATTCTGAGAACCAGCTGTCTGTACTGGCTGCTTGATTCGGATGATAAATTAGATTTTGTTAGATCTTGCTATCTGATGAGAAACTCTCCTGTACGTATGTTTGATCATTATTGTTTCATGCTCTGTCAGAGGGGGGCGCCAAAGTATGAGCAAGTCCCCATAATGGAAAAAGGAAGCACTGGGGGCAAAAGGTACNAATTTTCTTCTTCCTTTTTACCAAACCGTCTGTTTTGCAGTGAAATACCTTTAGACAATAGTCCATTCTGATCCAAACACCGTGAGCGACTTCCTGATGACACCGTTCTGAACTTCAAAACATTTCCTCTGCACGCTTTGGATGTTTTCAGCCTGAATGGGAGGTGAAATCACTTCCGATCGATCCTGGATTTCCAAAATCACCTTTTCCCCCTCCTTCATCCTATCGCCGTTTTATCCCAGCTTTGAGCCATGAACTCCGTTTCTGTTTCCTTCTCTCACCAGAAGGCAAACAGCTTGATACGCCTCCCCGTTTTCCACCTTTCTAAGAAACCGTGTTCCCCATCTCAGAGGGTTACCGGTGTTGATGTGTTGTTCACGCATCAGGGCCGGTTGGGGAGGTTGGAGGCTGCTTGTTTCTGGCTGGCTGCGCGGCTGACTGGCTGCTCGGGAAAAGACAGAAACCGAACCCGATGAATCTGGAACTCATGCTCCGCTAACCCAACATGTCAGCGGGTGGGGGGAGCGTAAGTTTGGCCCTCCGTCCCACGCGACACGACACTGATTCGGGGCGCTGCTGAGGCGTTGCACACCGAACACACAGAGCCAGGCGAGGTGTTACAAGGAGAGAGGGAGAGGGAGCTGGCGCTGATCTGTTTTTGTGAGCCACATGAGAGGGAAAAAAAAGAAGAGAGGCTGAGATAGAGGAAGTATTGGAGCAGCAGGAAGAAGACGGTGGCATTTGTGAATAACAGGATCTGACATTTTGTGCCTCTGGCCATATTTCCAGACAAATGTCAGGCAAACTGTACACAAACATTTGAAGTTAAACAGTAGGAATAAGCTGCAGCAGCATCGAGCGGGTTGATGCACGCGAATTGTCTCGACAGTAAACTGCACAAAAACAATCCCGTTGCAAAGCTTTGAGTGGACAAACATCTGCAGCAGCTCAACTGGAAGAAAACAACTCTTTGTGTGACTTATCGCTGCTGACGTCATGATTTTTTTATGACAACTCTGCCGCCACCGGATGAACACAAGCCCTCTTTGTGTTCACTTCTTCACCGTCACTGTGTTTTTCTTTCGTTGCAGTTTTGCTCAGGGCCCGCTGAAAGACGCCCCGAACCTGATCTGCACACCGCACACGGCCTGGTACAGCGAGCAGGCCTCTCTGGAGATGAGGGAGGCGGCCGCCACCGAGATCCGAAGAGCCATCACCGGTACGCGCTCGCACAACTCCATCATCTCCATGAATCTTTCTTTTCCCCTCCCTCCTATTCGCTGCTTCACAATCGGGCCCACACCTCAGCTGTGTGACCTGTTGCACGTCCCTTGTTTCCCAGATGCCGCATTTCCGCTTCAGCAGAGCCCTCGGCAGCCGTTATTAAACCCGGACCTCTTAATAGATGTCATCATTAGCGTCCCCCGACATGCGGCGGTTCCCGGGGAAAACACCCAGATTGTTAAATGATCTTAATTTGCATTTGTGTACCCAAGCCTGATACGTTTGTCAGTCTGAGCTCATTAACGCTTTGCTCGCTCATCCCAAGTCGCCGCCTTTTAGCTGATTCACGCCGGTGTGCTTTTCAACTCTGCGTTTGTGCGTCGACAGGCCGCATCCCCGACAGCCTACGGAACTGCGTCAACAAGGAGTTCTTCGTCACCACGGCACCATGGGCGGTGATGGATCAGCCGGGAGTTCACCCCGAGCTCAACGGCGCCGCTTACAGGTAGGCGAGGAGGATGCACACGTTAAGATTTTGAGCACTTTTAATAATTTTCCAAACTGTGTTAAATTGGTGTTTTGTTTTTATACTCGTTCCTTAACAGTGTGTCAATAAATCAATGAACTCACCACTCTGCTGTAGATCTTAGCGCCCCGTCCCCTCACTAACGAGAAAAAAGAAAACTCTCTCGGCCCTTCTTGATCTCAGCAATGTGCTTCTTTCACGCAGCCAAGTGAACCAAACTCTTCCGGCTGTAACAACCGGCATCCCCCAAGACAAAATTAATGCCTAGATCAGGAGCAGGTAAATACGACCATCCGGGGTCCACGGCTTCTGGCTGGAGGTCCCTGGATCTCTCTCACCTGATGTGTCCCCTCCTCCTCCTCCTCCTCCTCCCCACCTCCTCTATAATCCCCCCCCAGCACTCACCTGTCTGACTGAGCACAGAGTAGAGACGAGCTGCAGTGAGTGTCCCAGTAAGCATGACATGAAGCCATTCTGATGCAGTTTCATGGATGGAGTCATGCTTCGTGGTTTCCCTTCTTATGAAACTTCCTTCGGATTAAGCGTCTCTGAACTGCATTGTCCTCTTTCCTCCTCTGGTTGATGGGTTTTATTGTGAGTTTTTTTTCACCAGACTACTGTAATACGACGTCTCTTTTCCTCAGAAGAGCCTCAGGGACTAAATCAGGCACTCAGAAGTTTTTTTTATGTGTGTTTCAGAAACCAAAAAGATAAACGAATTACACCCATACAAGATTAAAACAGATTACATCTTCTTTTTTAAATGCTGAACCAATTAGTTAATAGAAAACTACTTCTGATAATTGATAAATTATCCTTTATGAAGCAGCTGATTACAGCTTCTCACATGTGGAAATCTTTTTTTCTCTCCTTTTTTTTTTTTATTATTGCCGATCTTTGAATCGTGAACTGCAACCTAAATGACAACCTCGGCCTCTCTGACCTCACCAACAGTCTCTTACACTTTATAGAGCCGACTACTCGTTATGAAACCAGAATATTCTGTCGACGACACGGTTTCTTGCCTTTTGTAATTTAGTTTTATGGATTCTGGAGAAGACAAATTGAAATTATTCTGTTTTTCAATCATCTGTTAAGTCTGTAAAATGTTAGAAAAAAGAGAAATAGCTTGTTTTGTCTAGTCGTCAGTCCTAAACCCACATTTAATTTCTTCACTGTCATAGAAATACAAGAAAAACAAAATATAGACACTCGTGAATCTGCTGGAAGTACTTTATTTTCCATGGTTGCTCAAACAATTAATCAGAAATAGTTGATAATTATTTTGTCACTTCGGTGAAGCAACTTTTTATCTCAATATATAATTATATTTTTCTTCTCTTGCGCTCTACCTCTATTTACCGTAAATTCCAGACTATTGAGGCACCTGAATATAAGCCACACCCACTAACTTTGAAAGGAAAACTAGTTTTGTACGTATACAGGCTTGTCTATAAGCTGCAGGTGTCCACGTTGTAACATGAGACACAAAGATTTTTTTAACTTTTAATTGAATACGTACCGCTAACATACACAAATGCTTTTTTCCAAACAGCGCCTGTAACACAGCTGGTTAAAAACTACAGCATCCTACCAGGAAAAGTCATTGATCGCTATCTTCATCTTCCTCCTCGTTGTCACTCTCAACGACGTCACTTTGGTCTCGAGGCAAATTCGTCAAAATTCATTAATTAACCGCAGCGTTCAAAGCGTGTGAAAAAAGTAGCCACTTATATTCCAGAATTTACGGTACCTGGTTCCCGATTTTTCGCACATTACAAGAAATTCCCATCTCAGCTCGTAGCAGTGCACGCGAGCACAACAACCCAAACCCTACACGATCAGAGAGCGCTGCTTCAAGTGTAAGAGACTCAACGAGTTCCTGATTAAGTTCCTGAGGTGGAAAAGAGGCAGTAGTGTCCCTAAATGTGAGGTCTGTGCAGAGAATCATGGGAACGTGAGGCGACTACGCTCCCTCTGGGTCCCGCCGACACTAATCTCTAACCTTCCCCCCCTCAGATACCCGCCGGGCGTGGTTGGAGTGGCTCCGGGCGGCATCCCAGGGGCGTTAGAGGGCATGGTGCCTGGTGGGGTGCCCATCGCCCACACCCTGCCCTCTGGTACACACCCCTCCCAGGCCCCATCGCCCAACCAGCCCTCCAAACACGGCGAGACCAGAGAGCACCTCACCGAGCAATAGCAGCAGACGGGAAAAACAACAAAAAAAAAGGATTCAAACTGCGACATCTCATCCGACCCGCTGACACTGAGAAAAAAAAACAACAACAACAACAACAACGCACCAACCAATCACAAAGCAACCGACCAACTGGGACCAAGAGACAGTGAAACAATACAAGCGGCTGCCTGTTAAACCAGCCAGCAACTGGGAACAAAAGAAGTGTTCCGGGGAATTTGTACTTTTACCGTTTTAGTTTTTACTCTCTGTCTCTTTGGGTTCAGTACCGACTTTACTCTTTGATGATGTTTTTTTTTTTTGTTTTGTTTTGTTTTTTTTCTTCGGGACATGCCTATGATTGTGGACACAGAGTCCAGTGTTTTTAGTGCTCCGGGATTACCCGATGAGACTCTGTCCAGCCCCACCACCACCACCACCACCACTACTACCACCACCGCCCCCCCCAACCCCACCGTACACCTCAGAGCTCATGGGAAATGTAGGCCCACATCTCAACACAACAACGGAAGAACAAGAGAAAAAACAAAAACCTTTGGCATCATGTGCTACTGGACCTTATTGCCCCTTTCCTCCATCCTCTCCCGACCCTCCCCGCCTCTCCCTTTTACCCACCTCTCCAACCCCTCTTATGTAACAAGTGTGTGTTATTTAGGCCCCTCATTATGCCTCAGAAGAGAAATTTTTTATTTTTTTTTCTTTCTATCCTAAGTGTGAATGACTAAAAATGGATTATCAACTTATATATATTTATCATTCATCAAATAAAAAGGAAAAAGATTGCTCATCAGTTACAGTAATCTAGAGTGGGTTTTAACCCTTTCCTGGCAATAATACATCCGACAGTTGTGGAGTTCTACCACTAGAGGGCGCTTCTGCACAGCGCGAGGAGTTCCTTCTGAGATCTTCGCTCCAACAGTGATTATTTCTAAAAGCTGTCGGTGGTCAACACTAAATATTCACTTTATACATTTGATTGTAGCTGAAGTTTTAGGTTCT